GGCGGCGCCGGCCGGCGCGCCGGCGGTGGCGGGGCTTCTGCCGAAGAGCCCGGCGGTCGCACCCAGCAGTCCATTGATGGAGGCCGCCCCGGTGGCCGCCGTCAGCGGCGGTGCGAAGGCAGAAAGTAAAGGTGCCCCAGGGGCCAATGGAGATGAGGAGGATGAGGCCGGGTGCTCTCAAAGCTGAGAATTCAGCTTCTGAAATTCACCGATACGTTCATGGAATCTTGGATTTTGCACTCAGAACCATGAGTGATGATATACTGTGATATACTGTAGAATGATGTCAATGATGTCGCTTTTTCATGTGCATTGAAGATCCTCAAGGCACGACCATGCACAACCTCTCGTTAAATGCAAGTTGCTCTCGTGCTGCCAAGGATTTCGGCAAGTGACTCTTCCGTAGTGCCGCCCGGGATTTTTCACATCGAATATTGTGCAGCAAATCAATACTTCAGACGCAGTCTGATTGCATGAAAGGGTGAGCCAGATTGACTTTTGCCAACGTTCAGCAGAGATGTCACATGAACTACCATGAACAAACAATAAACTCAGCATTTGCAGTGTCATGTGTCCAAAAAACAGACACTGAACAGCCAGACTTTGTTTTTGGAATACTTTAGTTTTTATCATGCACTTGCCTGGCACTTGTGCTTTGGCACTCGGGTGAGAGGCTTTGTTCGCCCCTTTTGGGCTTCTTCGAAGAGTCTTAGGCTAGACAGTAATCTGCATGCGTGCGCTCCGAGCTGTTCCCAAAGAAAAAGCTTCAATGACTGATTGAGCTACACAACAAACGAAAAGGCATCAAAATCCAAGATCGCAGGTATCTTCAAGGGTCCCACGTATCCAACAAACCCGGGATCTTCAGAACAACTGATCACAAACTATACATCCAAGATCCCAGGAGTGGCATCAAGAGCTGGTACAACATGACGCCTTAGCATCTCGCGCAGAAATGACTTTTGTGGTGTTTCCTGGTGTGAAAACGGACATTGTTTCATGCCTGGATCAGGAGTCAGAAGCCGAATTGATCTCTATATATATATAATATATATATATACCGTTACAAAGGTTTATTCATGTTTGTTCCATTCGCTTGAGAGTTCAAAGGTTGCATCAATTCCATGAGGCGCATGAGGTGTTTTTACACAATGTTCAGATTGAGGTAGTTGGTTGAGGTCTGTGGAATCAAATCACCAGCTAAGATTGATCAGGGAATGTGGCACTCGCCAAACAGCCGGAGCTGAAAAACTGACTACGCACGCTTAGCTCTGGAGATTCCTAGAGCAGCCTGCAGCGCTGGCATCTCGTGGACGATTTCGTCACCTTCGTTCTCGAACTCGCACTGAAAGGTGAGAAAAGTCACGCTGAGCGTGTAGAGGTTTCAACGATCCTAGTAGGTTGGAGGCCATTGCTGTTATGGTTGGAGGCCATGGCTATTATGGTTGGACTGGAGGCCATTGCTCGTAGGTTGGAGGCCATAGAGGTTTCAAAGAATCCCTCGATCTATAAGGATTGGGGCCTGATCCTGTGGATCAAACAAAACCACCTGAAGATCCTGCACGAGATAGGAATTCTCGCACCATGAGCCCTTGCAACATTCCCATCCAAATGCATGTCACGATGCTTTTGGGCCACTCCTTCCAGCTCCACTTCTGGACACCCGTCCTTTCTTCGGAGAAGCAAGCATGCCAGCTCGCCAGACCCCAAAATACCCCAAACCTCTCGGACCGGTGTTCTTCTTTCGATGTTAAAGAACGCAGCTTTGCCTGGACTTCATAGCTCCAAATCTCAGCAGGTTGTTTCGTTCGAACTTTGCAGGTCTCAACTCCTCGCGCTCCACGCGCTCCGGCAGCAGCTTTGCCGCGGCCCTCTCGGCCGGTCTGGCGAGTGCTGCAGTGGCGGGTGCAGCTGGTGCGCGAAAGACAGGGCTGGGGAGGCTCAGAGGGTGAAAACAGCACGGTGGAGGGATGGGTTGGATCGATGCGAAGCGTTTCTGGCTTTTTTGGAGGATGGGCATCAACACCCTTGGGCATGGCCCCCATATATATATATATATATATATGCCCCCAGGCTTGGAGGTCGACGAAGTTTTGCTTCGGCTGAAGAGTGGCTTGGTGAGCTTTAGCCGAGAGGTTGAAAATATATAATGTAGACTCTTGATTAATAAACCACCCCATATGAAGATGTTTTTCAACTCTCTCACCAACCGACACTACCACCGAAACCTGCCATACAACATGGCAAGGGTTCGTTTGTGGTTGCGACCTGCCCGCAAGTGAGTGCATCCAACTGGGGTGGGGTCATTAATCAAGAGTCTACATTATGTGTATATATATATGGAAACAGACCAGAGCCATAATTAGCTGGCAGGATCCAACTCATGTGTTGCAGTTCTGGAGGCGGTGATCCAACAGGAAGAGATTCATCATGATTCATCGCCATGTCATGCTTCCAAGCCATCGGTGGGTGAAACTGAAGATCGTCAGGTTTTGAGTTCTCGGCAGTTTGGGGCGGGGTTCAGGCTCAGGTCCAACCCTTACCAATCATCAACGGCTGGAATTCCAGTGCTGAAAGAACACGACCTGCACTGTCGTAAGATGATTTCCAAGGCTGCATTTGTTGCAGCAAAGCCCTCTTGTCAGGTATTCGCAGGATCATCATCCTCTAGCGGCTAGCGTCATGAAACGATGACATGATAATAACTATCATCCCACTGAAATCCTGGCAACTGCTCTTCAATGTTCATTCACACATAGTCAGTTCTTCTGAGCGTTCTTGGTGCAGCAGAACGTAGTGAGACACCTAGAACACTCATTTCATCACAAAGGGTTGTGGGAATGGCTCATTCAGAGCGTGCTCCAGGAGAATCATTGTTCTTCCAACTCCTAAAGCCAAGGTCCCGCTCCGCCAAGCGCGTGGCCTGCCGTGCTGAGAGCACGCGCCGCGAGCCGCAAACCGCGAGGTGATCGCGGTGGGTGGAACGGCTCGCGTTTTTTTCCACCCCAGGGTGGTTGGGTTGGAGGAAGACCTAATTGATAATAATATATTGAAGACCTGCAATTAACAAAAGGATTAAAACAGGTTTTTGGTCAAGAGAAGATATCCTGAAGTGCAAGCTTGTTTTAGGGACTCCCATGGTCCGACGCCGACCGACGTACTCCGTGAGCTCCGTGAGGAGCTGAATCAACCAGCTTCGAGTCTGGCGGCCTCTCCTGAGTACACTTATGTAGACTTATTCATTTGCCCTGGCCCATGGGACATGTCATGTCCTTTGCTCCCAGCTGCGCCTCCCCTTTGTGAAAAAAACGAACTTTGACAAGAACAGCTCCTGCACCACATGGGCATCCCGAACCAGATCATCTTCGATTGATCTCAGGTGGTGCATCTTCTAATCCCCCTTCTAAGCTCAGCCGTTTGGTTCGCTTTGGCAGGTCGGCCGTGACGGATCAACTGGTCACTAGCGTGGACCCCTCTTTGGGACCTCAGGGCACGTGCCCCCTGCTGCGCGACGGGCACCGCGGCGACGCGGCGACGCGACGCGACACGTCGGGCGTTTGAAAGGTACAGGTGCTTTTCGGTGCCACGCCATGGAGCAATACAAGGTTTCTGAGGTGTTGGGCCCCGGTTATCTTACAATAACTTGCACCAACCCATTGATATGCACCAAGGCATGTCAATGCATCACGGGATCTATTGTCCATTAAATGGTCTTGGGCAAGAAGGGCTCCCCCCGGCTGCGGTGGCTCAAAGGAGTAACGGGAAGCTGGCTGTCCCAAAGACCAAGGTGGATGACATTTCCACACCCCAAAACAGCAGTCCAGGGCCCACCTGGGGATGATGGATTGGTAATGGATGGATGACTCTTCTGAGACTTGAGTGATCACCGGACCTTTTTGGGGAGCCAAGTCTTGGACTCTCGGAGAGCCGGACACCTCGGAGCCGCCGATGATGTGAGGTACCAGGTCGGCATTGACTTCAAGAACTGGTTGCAATCCGCGCAGGAAGAGATCAAGGCCTCACCGCGCAGATCGCGGCCATTTTGGAACCAACAAAATGGGACTAGAGAGAGATCTTGAGAGAGATGAAGAAACATGAGACAATGTGTGATCAAGACAAGAATTCAAGCCCATCATATGGAAGAATCAATGCCCATGTATTTGTCAAGTCACTGACTCATTCAACGCAGAGTTCGCAATCTAGATCAACGTTTGCCCCACACCTTGGGGACGGTCTTTCGCCACGGTTCGCCACAGAGCTGGACGCCCCGAGTCCTCGGCTCGGAGGTCGATGGCCTCCGTGTGGAAGGTCAGATCCCTGCCTGGCTCCGCGGGCATTTGGCCGTGGCACCCGGCGCGGGGAGCGGAGGTAGATCGGAGGGCGGGTGCTGAAACGCTGGGTTGGAGCGGGCGGGCTCGGTGGGTGCCTGAGTTTGAGTTTGGTCTCACTTGTGGCTTTGGATGAGCGTTAATTATGTGGCAAGGATGGCAGAGGTCTCAGCCGGTTTGCGGCCTCAGGCCAGTTGGCCTCCAGTTGTCCAACTAGTGAGCACCCAACAGAAGAAACCATCAGAAAGCCACTATCACTGTCCACCTACCAGCAGAATCCGTGTTTGTTTGCTTAACAGGTGGACCATTGGTCAAAACTCCTCACACCTGGAGGTCAATTTCTGGGCCGAAAGTGAATCGCTGAAGCCGGTGGCATCCTAGGCTCCAAAGTCCTTGGTGCATGGATGGCTACAAAATGCCACAAAGACCATCTCAGGGTGCAGAATCCGGGCCACTGGAAGAACAGATTCCTCATGATTCCTCCAGTTCTGGGACGGTCTTCTGGTCGGGTCCCATGCAGATCATATTTCATGCGCTCTCAGAACCTCATGCGTGAATTCTGAAGAATTATGAGGGCAGGCTATAGACAGTAAAACAATGCATTTAACATGTTTGCATGAGAAAAGACGATGTTCGACACCCGTCACGAAGGTTCGTCCCTGGGACCAGTATCGGGGACTCTGTCGGGTGTCCACACAGTCTTCTCGATTTCGCCACGCGACCGCGCGAACGATTTCGCCATGGAGAGCGATTCGGCTGCGGAGGACTTGGTGGAGGTGAGGTAGCTAAAAGGGTTTGGAAAGGAGCACCATGGAGCACCCTCAGGGCAGGGCAGCGTGTGGGATGAAGAGGCAACGTGGTAATGATCTTGCTATGTATTGATATAACATGATATAACATAATGTATTGTTACGATAACATTATGTAATAGTTAATATCACTGTTATATATATATGATACATTGTTTTGGGTTCGTCTCAGCATGCAGATCTCCAAGCACATGTATTTTTTTGTTGATCAGGACGACTTTGGACTTCTCATTCTGAGAGAAGCGCTTTACAATCACACTGAACAACTGGAAGAAAGAGCATCAGACCCAGATGCCAATGTATTTTGTCAGGGGTTCGCAACTTTTTCACTTCACTCCGCGTTGCTCGGGCATCAGTGATGTGTGCCCGGGGGACCTTACGGTAACTCTGTCAGTTCAGCCTTGCACCCAGTCATCGACTGTTGGTATTCCCCCAAAATTGCAGAGGTAAAAGAACGAGCGGGTCCTTTTTCAGGTCACATATGGTTATTACTTTTGTTGTTTTATAAATATATATATATGTGTTTTTCTTTCGACATGTAACTGCCATGTCTTGTCACCGTCCCATGTCCAAAAGCCCCGGGCTTTCTGCTGGCGCAACGCGTACAGCGCAGACCGTCGCCACGGAGATCCCGTACAGCGCAACGTGGCCGGAAGAGCTTCAGCCACTCGCCCAGTTTGGTTGGGCCATGGTGGCCTGGGCCGATCTGAACCGGAGTCTCACACCCGATCGGAACGTTTGGAACCTTCCAAAGAAAGAACCATGGTATGCTACCTGGCACAAGAGTGTAACAGGTTCATTGTGCATGGTTTTAGTAACCAGGATTCTTCTTGGCCTGTGCCACTCATTGTTTGGCACCTTCCAAAGAAATAGATTGACATCATGAACCTCGCACACCCCCTGGAAGAGTCATGGGCCAAACGTGGATGGCATGACCCTGGATACGGACGACGATTTTCGGAATACCGGTGGTGGCGGACACCACCTCCATGATTGATGATTTCAAGGAGTGTATATATTTATGGAGGATCATCCCTCCTCCACAAATCCGAGCTGGATGTTTGTAACATGTTGGAACGCCAGGCCAGCCATGTCGCGGGGTGAACCTTGGGTACGACATGGTGAATGGCAAAGAACACATAGATTGATGTGACAGGTGTCTTTCAACTCATTTTTTATTATATCAGATGTAAGATATTCAGATGTGGATGTGGAATTGTTTGCATCCTGTTTGAACACCGACAGCCACCCTGCCAGGATCGACACCTTTTGCTCAAACCGTCGCGGTTTGAGGCGCTACCTCTTGAAGAGGGGAGTTGAGGACTATGTGATTCAAGACAGGCGAGTGAAGAGAGTGAAGACGTGGATGAAGACGTGGGGGGCGAGTGGTTTTTGTTGACACAGGCGTGAATCTCATAGGCTAACTGAGGGAATTTTGAAGTAGTCCGGAGTCCGTAGAATATGCTTGTATAGTTGCTTTGTGTATTTATTTATTTATATTGTTTAAACCAACTCATGTTTGCCGGGGGTGTGGTGGGTTGCTGGTCGTTTCAAAAACCAAACACCTCTTGTGCGTTTCAAACACCAAACACCTATTTTGCGATGAACACCACCGAGTTTTGTCACCTTAATTCACATTTGCTGAGCTCAGAAATGTTCCATACTGTTGCCTTTGCACGTATATGTTCATCGTCATCGTTTATGAAGGCCCTGATTCGCTTCATGTTCCACATCCCATTGTTTCACCACCCGGACTCGGCCGTGTTTTGTTTCGTTTATTGGCAATAATGATCTGCAACGTTGCAACGGATGAGTTGTGCCTTCATCTACAAATCAGAAGGTTAACGCAAGCAGAGATAGCCCTGCAGCCCCTCACGTGGAACTCAAGCAGACATGGACATTATAGCATCAGCATGAACCAGCTGGTGTTGTTCGTTTTGATTTGCACCAGTTTACTTTGAAAGTTGATGACCTTTTTATTGGACCAATTTTCTGGACCCGGTTCGCACGCAAGCAGTGTAGTGGCTACGCAGGTTTGGTGCAGAGGTCCTCGGAAGTGTGCAGCCCAAGTCGTCACTTGGCGCCCAGTCGTGTCGTTGTCGAGTAGTGAACCACAAAAGTTAGCAGTTAGCACTCATTCAACAGATAAGATCTATGAAGCTCAGTCACAGAAACTAAATACGCAGGTCATTTCTGGTGGGAACTGCTGAACCAGGCTACTGATGAAACGCCTTCTGGTGGCAATGAAGTAGTTGCATCATTTGGGTCAGTTGGGCAGGTGTATGACGCACATGTTGCTGAGAAAATAGGAAAATTTCATGTAAACTCACAGATGGAAGTGTGAAACACCTCCAAGAGCATCCCGCGTGCATCTCTGTCAAATACCCAGCCTCATGGCCTCGATTTTTCGGGAGACGTACCGCCAGCTTTGCCGGTGGTGGCGACAGGTGCCTCAAAATGAACTTGCCAGGTGGACAAGACAAAAGCAGTGACGCGGTCGGTATCTTCCGCTGGTCGTTGGATTCATGTTACAAAGGTTTTTGGTCGATTCGTCTCTGAGACTCTCACACACATCCCCGGATCTTTTTGGCTCATGATTTTTGTGACAGGCTCCAGCTGCTCAACAGCTTTCGGAAAACCCGCCATGGAGTGCCACATCCGATTGGAAGGGCGACCTCGGGCGTCTCCTCCTGTGGGGCAAGGCTGAAACTCATTGGTGTGCGGAAGATGAAGGTCCAGGAAGGTGTTGTGGACGCATGCCGAAAAGGCTGGAGCACGAAGGTTGATTGATCTTTGTTTTCCAGCCTTCTCGGCATGCGCGTATATCATTGAAGCACCCTGTTTACGACGGTGCGGGAATTCCTGATCTGTTGGCTTAGCAGGGAAGTTAGCCAAGATGATTGCCAGTATGCTGTGGAGGAGACTGCGATGGATCTGTTGATCACCAAACTGCACGTGCCAGTACGGAAGGGTGTTTCCATTTTTGATGGTAACATATCCAGAGTGCTCCGCAGCTTAGGTCTTCCACTGACACGCAATCCGAATGGAGAGTCACTTGGAACAAGTACCCGGTGAAAGTACAATGATCAGCAAGCAGACGGCTGCATGGCTGGCTTTGGACACAAGTCTGAGGCAATTTGCCGCGCTTTGGCACGACATGTTGCTTGTTTTGATGTGAGCATTTGATACAATGACAGTCTGAGCTGCCTAAAAGTATGTTTGAATTGATTCAAAAAACATCAAAGCCCTCCAAACACCGACAACCAATCCTATATGCCACGCGAGAAACAAAGATGTGCAGGATGTGGAGTGGCCGGGAAGTATGCTTCATTGGATGGTACACCAATGCTGTGGTAGTTTAGTCTTCTCCGCTTTGTGGAAGTTAATGATACGAATCCAGCCTCAAAGCTGGCAGCCTTGAGGCAAGTAGAGCCATCGTGACTGAGTAGAATGAATCATCATTTCAGCTTGCTTGGGACTGGCTTTCCAGACATACAACCTCACTATGCTGGATTGTTTGAGAGCATGTTGCATATATAGTTTAATGCAATAAATTCAGATGCCTAGCTGCAATGCTTTTAAGACTTGCATTGGGAAGTAGGCATGATCAAGTCTTTGTTCTCTTCCACCCCAGGTAGCTGGCTTTGTAGGTGCTCAACCGCTAAACTTGCTCGTAGCATTCTTCCCTTGACCTGCATGGCTTGACGTGTTTAGTGTCAAGGGAACCCAGTGTTTCCTCCAGGTCCCTTAGAAAGGTCTACTGCAAACAACCTGTCATGCTCATTGCAGTTGTTTGCATGAGCACCTGCTTAATCTTATTCTATGTTATTCTTCTCATTTCTTCTCAGCTGGCTGGCCCGTCTCATGCACGTATTGTCTCCAGATCTGCTGTTTGTGTTGTTGTGTCCCCTTTGATTCGAGACTCATCGAATGCCCGACCACCTACGGACCTACACCTGCCTGACACCCCCAAAGCTGAGGTTTTACAGGGCGGAGCTCTTTCCTTTGAGAGTGATCATCCGTGCGCGCCAGGATGAAAGGGGGATCCAAAACGAAAACAAACATGTCAGTGGATGTTGTTTGTTCCACTGCAATGCAAACGACGTGCGAAGCGGCCGCTTCTGTCCATTGCAGTTGCTCCTCATGATAGATGCATTGCTAGTGTCTTAAGGCGATGAACAGTGTCCACCAGGTCGCAGCACGTGCTCCTCTGAATATGATTGTGCAATCAGTTTGGTGGAAATCTCGTGCCACCTGCCACTTTACTTTCTTTTGTATCCCAAACGTCCAGCTCCAACGCTCCAGAACTCCAGTACTATTCTCCCATGCGGATGTTTGCAAGCCAAAGGTGTTCAAAGAATTGCATCCACTTGAGGATAGTACTCGGGACGGCCAACCAGGGACGTCTCGGGCGCTGTGCCTTTTCAGGGAGAAAAATCGTCAAGCAGCCAGAAGACCACATGTGTTGAACAACCCTTTGGCAATTTTTTTTTGGGGGGAATTCTATGGACCAAAAGCAGAGAAAATATGACCAACTACATAATGATGGTTATTGTTGTTGTTGCTTAATGTTTGTAAACTTTCAGATCCAAAGCAGCAAAACGGTCTAAATGTCATGTGTCCTTGGGTCCATGAAGCTTCAGGGTTTCCTGTCGTCAGGAGGGCAAATGCTTGGCAGAATGCGCCGTGATCAAGTTTGAGGAGGTGACGGATAGTGTGCGACGTTGACAAATTCGAGCTGAGATGACCTGACCGAGTGGGTATTGGATGTTACATGATTTTACTATCTATTTTTTCAGTTCTGACTGGTAAATATGTGTAGTACTTTGATGTGAGGATCTTACCAGAAGACTGTGTAGTATAACTATATAGTACTTAAATACATGAGTGTTTTGCATCCTAAGTCTTCAACGCATCTTTGCGTGGGCCATCCGATGTGTACTGTTGTTTTCACATCATCGACACACATGACATCGCTTTCGACTTGGTATGTCCGAGCCAGCGACGAACGACTGTTCCACCGTCGAACCGCCCCACTCACGACTGGTCGAACCGCCAACGGCGACGACGACGAGTGGGCCTGAGGAACTATTTGGACCTTACAAGTTTGGGAAGAGAAGGATAAACATTTCGGGTGATACCGTATTGCCTCGTCTTTGGGCAGAATCCCTTTGGGGTACTGAGCTTTTCAAAAACAAACACATCTTTTTACAGCTTGTTTTTTGGTACTGGTCACCGTAGGACACAGCAAGTTCTAGCTGGATTTCCTCGAAGTGCCGATGCTCTGCAACTCGTTGGTGCGTCAACTGGTTCCACGATCGACCGAATGGCGAATGGCTACCAGAATCCCCTTCCGAATCAGGTACTGCAGATGGAACCAGGAAAACACAAAAAGGTATTTCTCATGACTGATCTGATCTGAAAAGGTATTGCTACAAGGGATTCCTTCCTCATCATGTTACTGAAGATGCATGAGCACAGATCTATCCCCTTCTTCATCCCGAGTCAGCGACCACTGCGCTCGTGTCCGGAGGTGCTGCTGAGACTGCGATCCTTCGGTGCCACAGGCGGAGTCCTCGGAGTCTGTCGAGTGGAGATCCGATGTGGATGGGAACGTGGGCTTCATTGGGCTTGGGATGGCGTTGGGGGTTGCCCTTGATCTGGTGGCGGAGCTTGTCAGCGGAGAGTGATCAATTGATGGCCATGGCTGGGAATTTGGAATTGGCTTATAATCCTTGCACGCCGGTCTTCTGGATAGTTCACGTGCCTGTCGCATGCCTGCACCGAACCCAGAACGCTTGAGTAAGAGGAGACACTTTCTTAGCCGCGCTTCCGCGCCTTCCCAAGATACTCTTTCGATCCATTGCTGAGTGAATTTCACAGGTCAGCGACAGTCAGACGGCAACCCAACGAAGGGGACATATGCAAACGTGAATCTTTCAAGAATCCTCACTATCCTTTCCGCGGGTGTTGTGGATCTTTCAGGGAAGACGATCAATCAATGTTTACATGAATGATCTATCGATATATACCGTATACCCTATGTTGTAGCCCGACACTTCTAGAAGAGGAAGCGGATTGAGAGCCGACCTTCCCCAAGACAACGTTCCAGGCGCCGGCCTGGAAGAGACTCACCAGGGCGAGGGCTTCGACACTTTCGCAGTGGCCTTTGGTGGGGGCGGTGTTCGCTCAGGCGCATCCTGCGCGGCTTTGGTCATGCGGTTGGGGTTGAGAGTTCTGTATGCGCATGATTGAGTCAAGGGTCAAGGGTGTTCTGAATTGACTTTCCTTTCAAGAACATATGTGTGTGTCTAACCCATGGTTTGCTGGTTATAGCAGCACCCCCTTTCCTGCCCCCCAAACAGAGTTTCCTCCAGGCGCCTTTTGCAGCGGTGTGCTGTGGGCGCTCGCAGAGACCAACCGCCTGCAGCACGTGACGCATCTCTCCTCCGTCTCGGGAGGCGCGACCGGTAAAGGGCCAAGATGGTAACAACGGAAGGGAGGGAGGGACTAGTTTCAACCACCAGAGATGGGAAACCCTTTAAGGCAGATATAGGCAGTTGCGGCATATTACGGATGTGGACGTTTTGTTCAGGATGTATATCAAAAGGGAATCCAGAGCGATTATGTAACCTCGTCCTTTGCAAGCAGTGAGTTTTGTATGGTTTAGATAGTCAATATTGAAGTACTATTTATGTTGTTTCATTGGTTGGTTTTGGTCGATGTGTTGTGGGAACTTCTTTACTTGGCATCAATTGTCAGCTTTCTTAACATATCTCGCCCACTGACTGTTGACTTTCCAAGTCCATCCACCGGCAACGAAAGAAACACAGACCATCACCACTAGCAGCCTGGCTAGGAAGTGCATCCCATGTGGCCGCATGTGGCCGCCAAGCATGTCATGAAATGGAGATAAAAACGAGTACAGTTCATGATATGCATACTCATCAATGTTCACCGTGTTTGGACCATGTCCTAAGTTAGGCCAGGCCGTTCCGAAGTTAGGTTCTCCTTGGTCCCGCTCCGTGCTCCCAAGATTTGGTGAAGAGATCTCCGGTATCTCGCTGAGGCGATGGTGCCTCCTTGGTTGGTCAATGTGTGCCTTTCCGAATCACCACTGAAAAACCACTACTGCAACTGAAACTAAAAGCTCCCCGACAACATGTCCTTTCCGCCGCATTTTTGCTTTCAATCGCCCACTCAAAAACATCTTCGATCGTTCAATCGCCTGCAAAACACACCTCTTCTTCAATCCACGTCCAGGCTCGCGCCTCGCTTTCGGTTTGCTTTCGGTCCATCGAGCCTCCCTTTCCAAGGCTCGATCGCCGCCTCGGGCTTCGCCTCCTTCTTGGTGGAGGCCCACCGTGCAGCGGGCGCCTCTCCCTCGCGGACGCCCTCTGCGGGGCCACTCTATCGGGCACCTCGGAGCAGCGTGTCGAAGGGAGCGCGGCGCGTGCGAGGATGGAGTTATAGTTTTAGAAGTCAACCAGCGCAGGCTAAGGTTAATTGTGAGAGTGGTTGTTCAATGTTGTTTGTATACAGAGCAACATAGCATTCTTAGAATATTATATATTATATTCAAACTTTTCAAGAGAAGAAGAAGGCATTCAATCTTGCGGTTTGTGAAAGGGACCGGATCCGAGAATGGAGATGGTTCAAGAGCCGAGAAGCCGAGCCGGAATCTCTCGTGCCGTCATTGATGGGTGCGGCTGCCAGCGTCAAGTGCGAGTCTGAGCCTTCGGAGCCGCACTCCACGCAGTGCTGCGCGCGCGGAAAGCAGGGAAGTGCTGCACCGCAACGAAGCCGTCGAGTCATTTCACTGGACGACCAGGTCGTGCGATCCGCTGCCGAGACCCTGGGAGCGCAGGGAGCCCGTCCGGCGGAACGTGTGCAGAGGAGTACTCGTGTGACCTCACTTGATGTGGATGTTCTTGGAGCGCAAGTGGACATTGATTTCAGTGATGACGGCCCAATGATGAATCCGGATTTCCCGGTTTTCAGCCTTCCACCCTCTCCGAAATGGCAACCAGCCAACATCTCGGAACAGACACGTCAATCTTGATGAGAATGCAGATTGTGAGGCACAGGTGAGAAGCATGTGCAAAATGCACCCGTTTCACAGCACCAAAAAAGAATATTTTCTTGACTTTTCCAGCTTTATCAGAATTCCGCCGAGAACGAAGCAACTTATGTCAAGTCTCTCCTTTCGGTGGAAGGATTTTTAGCACAGTTGCAGGGAGCCAGATTGTTTGGTTTAGTTTCTTAGAAAGGTAATCTATATAATATATGTACCCAGACCATACATGTCAGGGAATAGTTGCCTACCATCGAATTGATATAGGCCAATTGGATTGTTAAGGATTATAGTATGTTGATTTGCTTTGAACCTTGGACCAGCCATGTGGGCGATGGCGACGATGGCGCCCTGTGCTACCCTGCGCTGTGTGCGATCTGGGCGATCGAATCATGTTCGCCATTCCGTGACCTTCGTGACACAATTGGTCTCAGACTCGGCGCAGCCTTGATCTCAAATGCTCAGGAGACAAACATCCAAGAATTCCGAACTTACTACCCAACCCGTTTTTCCAAAACATATGCATTGGATTTCTTCAAGAGAGGTGCACAGAACTCCAAGATGGCACAAGAGTCTCCTGCGTGTTTGAGCCATACCCAGTTTGTGACTTGAATATTCTTCAGCTCTTTCGAAGCTTCACCAGCAAGCGTGAGCATTTCAGGATGGTGGCCTTGGCATCGGACACTTGTTTTTTGGCAGATTGGAAATCCCCCAAGTGGGTTGAATCGTTTCATGTCATGTCCTTGGTGCTTTTGTCGTGAAAACCGATGTCGTACGGCCTAGAAACCCCCTTGAGGAAGACATCCAGCCGTACCGCGGATCGTGCGGTGAAAAGACGACCGACCTGGGGCGATCAAACAACGTGAGACCGGTCGAAACAGAATGACACAGAAGCAGCCTGAAGTATTTCGAGCGCTGCCTCCCAATGCACTATATATATACTACCTGATGATGGTTCCTGGTTGCTATGTGTCTTTCGTCTTTTGCCTAGGTGTCCCCTTTTCTAACCTCTTCTACACCCGATCCGGTTGTGAGTCGGGTGCGATATTTCACCAGTCTACTTACTGCTCCCAAACATTCCCAAACCTTCCATGTAAGCAATACATATGCCCACATTCACATTCACTACAACCACCAAATGTAGGCCATATGTTAAAATACATGGAGCCTTAGATGGGGCTGTTATGTAGGCTCTTGAAACACCCTAACACCTTTTTGGCAGCTGTAATCCTGTCCAGACCGACTGCGCGGCTTCGTATTGAAAAGTGTTTTGAAGCTCCGATTTTGAGACGGATTCTGAGCACTACTTCTTGGACATATTCCATTTGCAGTGGTTGCAGAGGTGAGAAATGGCATTGGCACCCCGTTCCATGTCTTGTAGATGCGTGTATAACCACCAAACTTGGACATTTGTGCCATCGACTCTGTACTTCTCTCCATACTCTTCTTTCTCAACCAAATGTTGCTTGTCCTGCCGCAGAAGGAGTTTGTGCAGCCCTCAGCCTCGATTGAGTCGCCCTAAATGCCCACTCAGGAAGTGGTCGCCGACTTTATCGAACGCAGCCAGCGAAATGCCGGCTATTTGGTGTCCTTCCAGAACCTTTTTCAGGCCCAGTCGGTGTGAACTGCCATCAATCTCGCCTGGAAAAAGGCACAGATCAAGATTTAGAAAGATTGCAGACTCAGGTTGTTTGAGAGGGATGCCTTATCCTATATATATTTTTTTGGGTTACCTCCAGGCCCGACAGGACATTGGCCAAGAAAGTCCCACAGTTTGAACCAACATGCTACTTGGGAAGCGGAAACTTCAAATAATATCAAATGGCATATACTTGCGACAATTGCAACCTGTACCAGATCGTTTATCTGGGGGGTCTTCGTTCCATGCAACATCATGCAACGCTCGCAGGTTCCAGAGGACAACTCCTCTTCGCGTGCCAGGAGAAGTTGGAAGTGCCTTGTTCATGCGCCATGAGGCCCCCAGCAAGAAAGATTTGACCCGGTGAAAGATATGGTGACAGCTTCCAAGCAGTTTCAGATCCCCAGCTTTTGGACTGCTTTTGCTGGTCCAAAGTTTGATTTAGCATACCATACCGTACTCGCATGATTTGGGGATGAGTGACACCCCTGGGGCTCCGAATCTGTTTCCACGCCACCGAATCTGTTTCCACGCCAAATCTTTTTCAGCCGACAGAATACAGGGCCAGTTCAGCCCATATATGTAGAAACACTCCTGGTCCGAGGCCGGCTAGCAGCTGGGGCCCCTTGATCCTTGAGCAGAGTCTGGAAGTAAATGATATAAAACAAATATGTAGAGGTGCAGTTGTTCATATTTGTTCGATCCTCATGAAGAAGTTCCCCTGTTTCTTTGGAATGGATGATCTATTGGGATCAATTTCTGAACTTTGTCCCAGAGTCTCAGAGTTGTATCATATCGTGGAAGATTCCTCATGCTTGTCAAGCTGCTCTCGAAAGGAAACATCGGAGACCCTTTTGCCACATCTTAGAACATCACCTAAACTTCCATCTAAACATATCAAATAGTTTTCTTGGGGGGTGAATGGCATCGCCTCGCCACCTCCAGGATCTGGGATTTGCCGCTGATGTTCCTGGTGGTCTTGGGTGTCTTGGTGGCGGCGCCTTCGGTCTTTTGCGCTGGAACCTCGGCCGACGGCTTCAACAGCACGGGGCGGCGGGAGGATGCATGGAAAAGCCATTGTATGACTATAAATAAGTTCTTTTTGTAGTGGCCCTCCATTATTATATATGTTTTTTATTACGTCACGTACTATTCATTAAACATGACAATAATAATCATCCACAAGCAAACTCAGACACGCTCAGGCTGCAGGCTAACGGACAGAGTCCCAGTGATAGAAAAGAAATCCTGAAGACCTGGAAACACACTGCGAACGTCATCACTTTCTTGGCTGAAAAGAATGGTTTCTTTTTGTCCCACAAGAGGCTTGATAAAGAATCCTTCGCTATTAGGAGCAAGGACGCTACTAGGTGGAGGCCCTCGCTATTAGGTTGGAGGCCATCGCTACGAACGGAGCAAGGACTGATAAAGGATTCGCACCGCTTGAGACATGGACGACCAACCTCATGTGGCCCAAGACGACCATGGGCGACCAAGCCTGGGGTCGGTCAGTGTCCTCTTTGCCGTGTGGAAACCCAAGGATCATACACGGCCATTCATCCATGACATGTCATCATGGAGGCTAATTTTGGTTCAGTTCGGTCGCAGACGAGACAAGTATTGTTGAAACGGCCATGGTCACATGCCTGACCTCAGGCAAAGAACCAATTTTTAGATGGATCAGATGGACATTACATTCCAATTTGTTTTTTACGGTGTCCAAGTGAAGAGAACCCGCGCTTTTTCGACCACCGCGCCAAGCGTTTTCACTATGTGACTTGACCGTAGGTCTTCTATGTGGTCCCCGTGACGATGCTCATCGAGGTGCAGATTGGGAAGGATCAAGGAAGGTGAAAACGTCGACGGTTTTCCACACCGACTGTGGGTTGCACGGAGCCATTTTCTCAGGCCTACTGGGGCGGAGCCATGCGACCTGCTCTTAGTTTCCGGAGTTTTGGTGGTTGTGTCGGAGAAAAACATAAAATATAAGAACAGCACAGCAGTTCCATGTCGGGGTAGCGAACGGAGGAAGGATAGGGGTGCCGAACTGATCATCCGTGATCCGACTGGATGGGGACGAGAGGACGAGGCACCCCAATCATAGAAGTGCTGGAAGAGAGATTTGTCGATGTAGAATCTTTGGCCCATGGCATTTTGCGCTTCAGCGAGGATACTTCACACCTGAATGTGTTTGTCTCATGTGGCTTCAGCGGTGCTTGTATAGCCTGACACATGCTTCTCAAGATTATATATATATATATATCCCTTCCAAAGGAAGATTGGCCAAGTGTTTGTTCACTTGTATGTATGTTCGCGCAAAACTTTGTTCATCCTTTTTCCGTATCTTAGAACTGATAGGCTAACTTCCACTGCCAGCTCCAGTAGCACTGGGGCAGCTGGGCCACTGGCACCGAGGCCATTGCTTTTGTCGATTACAGAACGAGGCGACGCAGTCGAGAGGATAACGGGTTCGGAAAGCAGTCGAGAGGATGACTGGTGGTGGATCAACACTCAGAGGATCATTTTCTTCAATCAGCAACCATTGCCTGGCCTTTGTCCTGTGACAGCTGACTGTTTCGGTCCTTTGGTCCAGGTCCTTGTAATGTGTGTTTTGATATTGATATATCAAATACTTGCTGATTTGTTGTGCTCACCAGACACAGACAAACACGTTCCTTAGACCTTGGTTCAACGCATTGTTCATCATGTTGACTTTACCCTAGACCTGCGGAGTACCTGCATGCACGAAGCTGCCCATCGAAGAGAAGCTTTCTGGCAGCACAGGAACTATTGCTTTGTCACGCCGAGGAACTGATTGCTTTCTGCGAAAATTGATTGGGACATTGAAGAGTGCCATGGTTCTTTTTGGACCAAGATCTCATACAAATGTTGGATGTTTTAAACCTTTGTGTGTGTGTTTTTTTCACCAACCAAGTAACCAACCCTTCACCCATTTGTGTCACCCATGCACCCAAGCACAGCTCCAGACGCAATGCAACTTCCTCACGGTGCTGCAAGCTCGACCGGAGAACGGCGACCACAGGCCCGGGGGGTGTTTTGAGCACCAAAGAAGGACGATGAAGCAGGTATAAGATCACTCACGCAGATCTTCCTACTCTGCAACATTTTATGCCTTTTCATCACCAAGGGGCATAAGTGTTGCCCAGTTGGAAGATCTAGGTAAAGCATGGTAAAGCTATATAGTGACTAGTTGTTAGGACAGAGAGAAGGAGCCGGCTGTATCCATATTCCCCTTCAAACAGGCAGCCATGCGGAGGTTACAGGGACTTCCCGAAGCATTGTCGTTTCTTAGCTCAAGACCATGGCTTGTGTGAAGGATACACAGATGCTGAGTTTGCGTTTTCTTTTGTTCCTGCTATGCCGATTCATGGTCATGGTATGAGTTCCTCCATGCTCTTAACAACTGTGCTGGGAATCCTTGAGGGTCTTTGAGGTGAAATTGATGGAATGTGATAGTCAGCACCATCAGCCTACTGTGGGATCTGTGGGGCTAGTGATTAATCCGGTCGTGGCATTACAAAGGACCAGTCAGCCATTTCAGCCAGGCAGTGGAGCCAAAACAGCTTCACCCTCCTCATCATCGGGGCGCTGGTCTTGGTGTTGATGGTGCTTGCCCGACACTCAGACGGCCTTTGTCATCAGCTGAATAATGGTGAATATATCAGACTCTTACGAGTGGCTCGACATTGCGGTCGTGGATGGTCATTGTGTGTCCTGATTGTAATATATGTTTTCCTTTGTTTGAGTACGCTTCTTGGACGCATATGTTTCCCAGTGTTCCCCTCAAAAAAGCTGACATAGAACTTCAACTACACTCCGGCTCACTAACATGGAAGTGGAAAACCCTGCGTTTCCAATAGTAGTCTTCCAAGGGGCCATTTTCCACTTCCATGTAAGTGAGTCAGAGTGTAACGCCGCAGTCACAAAACGAAGTGTTCTGGCAATTCAGCTTCTACAGCGGAGAGCCGCTGTGTAGAACAGACTTGATTCTTTGTTCGTCCCGTTCGACCAAACCAAAACCATAAATCATACCAAACCAAACCATCCTACCATCCTTGAAGGGCCTATGTAGCCTTATGTAGCCCATGTCTACCTTACTGCCCCCCATCCCAAGACTCAGCAACATTCAGCAACCCAAACTTCAGACTGGAGCCTCAAAAGGTCATGGAAAATTATCCACCCGAAGCAGATCAGTGACTCAGGCATTGATTTACAAGTGCTGTGGCATGAAGGAGATCCGGCACAGTGCCAGGCCCAGGCAGTGGCAGCGAATTGGCCCGAGCAGCTATGCCATGCGATGCCTGATCTTGTAAGTTGTTTGTTGTTGTTGTTGGCAGCTGGCGTTTCCCAAAATTCAAGTTGATTCAAGGGACTCCGAGGTTTACAAGTTAGGGCAACCCTACTACGAAGTTGCCATTTAACTACGGAAAGGGGTCTGCTTGTTTTTCTTACTACGGTGTGTTTGGCTGCATTCCTGGCGGTATCAGCTGTGTTTCTGTTTCCCACACGTTTGGGAGGACACATCGACCGTGCGGGTTCTGGGTTTGACTTGTGCCTTCCACACTCTCACGCGCCAAGAGGGAAGGCAGTCGCAGCCGGCGCAGGTGGTTTCTCCACTGGAGGTCCTTGACACACTTGTGCACCCGATGGCTGGTGGCCAGACAGCATATGAAACCATGGGCGGTGGAAAGGCATGCCAAGGTTGATTTGTAACATACTCTAACTAACCATACAATTATATCCACAATTGTATGTATATATATATATATTGCATTCAAGACAGAACCTGATGGTGGTGGGTTATAGCGCTAGATGGTGGTGGGTTCGTCTTAACCGGTCCAAGAGGATTGAGTGTGTAATTCATGGGCCCATAGACTTGAAGGGCATGAGCGGAGGGACGTGTTTGAAGGGAGCTGCTGAGTGGAGGGTACTTACATCTCATGACGGCACTCGCATTTGTTGATGCCACAAACAAGGGGTCTCCCTATTCAAATCTATTCAACTATACACACTCAAAGGAGGGTTTCAGGGTTCTTGCTCTTGGAACCCAAAAAAGGGTCTTGACCTACTTAGGCGATGTTCGTGATCATCCTCGCCACGGTCTCGCTGGTCTACACCGCAGATACCTGGCATCGTGTAGAGAGGGAATGCACCTGGATTGGGTAGAAGCTCATGACCCGCTTGCTGATTTTTTGTGTTGTTTTGGACATCCACATGTTTCGAGCTTCTTTGGTTAGCTCAGCTTTTTTGAACCCTGCTGAAACACAATTGAAGAACAAATGGCTAGATTACTCCCTGAAGGGAGGAGGACCAAAACAAACGAAGTGGACAGTATGCATGGCATGTTAAGAGGTTTCCTTTGTTGATCCACCTTTGTTCAATGTTAGCAGATCATTTTACTTGCACGCTAAGTGCAATGCTTTAAATGCCTTCCTTGGCTGAAATTGGACCCTGAAATCATGAAGATCATGTTGAACGTGAAGCTCCATGATCCAACATCAAACAATGATGAACGTGACGACCAATCGTTATATTTCATCATACTTCTGAATTGTTGCAGGGAAGCTGAGCATCTCAGAGATGGCACCTGGCCATCCGAGGAGTTGGTTGACTATCGGGGGCTGCTTGGAGAGCAAAGACATCGGGGTTCACATCCTTGGCTGCCCAGCCTTGGCTTCTTCCCACACGGTGCTTCCAGGGCTTTGGTGAAGTCGAAGTCGCTGTTGTATAGATCACCCCAAAGGATTCACCATACACAATCTTCAACGGAATTCCCTAGGCTCTAGGACTTGAATGTTTAAAAACGCGTTAACAAACATTGTAACATCAAGTGATCAAGTAGTTGTTGTTTCTATCATGCCTTGTGTCGGACGAGTGCTACTGCACCTGATGCGACCACTCGATCACCGTGACCGTGCGAAGCGACGTGTTTTCAGTGGTGGCATCAAGCCGGAGATCCGTTGACCGATCAACACGAACAGTTTTTGGGATCGGACAGTTGATGGTGCGTGAACTGCTTTGGTCAGTCTTGACTGTATTTCGTGATCTTTCATAGAAATTGAGAATGGAAGCGCTGGACATAGAAATTGAGCCGGGGAGCACTTCGCTAGTTCAAAGAGCACAGCACGGCCATGTGGAAGAGCGCACAGTTTTAACATAGCCTGTTACCAAGCGGCAATGTTCGGGGAAGATTTAGTAAGTTGAGGATGAGGATGATTTTTGGATTTTGGTGTTGAGGTCCAGAGAAGAAGAGTGCCTCGCCTACTTCAAGGAAGGCGGGAGTGTGCCAGAGCTACATGTCCCCATTTATCACTCATCGACGAGGTTCATGTCCGGAACGCAGAGTGGAGCGTGTAATTGGGAAGATGTTGACTTCGATTTGCCCACTGCTCCGTCCGTAGCGTCCTTTGCTACTAGTAGTAAGGCCAGGAGCCCCGTTCGTAGCGTTTGCCTTGCACGACTTGATGGGAATGACTCGGAATGACCGAAAGAAATTGGACTCACCCGAGTCCGCGGTCGGCAAATGCACGGTCCCGAAACGCGCGGTGCTCCAGGGCCCTTGTGCTCGGACAACCTCATGGGATTTCCAGCACATCTTCCAGGAAGGCTGGAGGACCAGCGGTGGCAATCAAGCGACCATGGCCTGGTGAGGGCTAGCGGCTAGCATCCTCCATCTTCGAGTGTAGAACAGATTTCCCGGATATTGTCCTAGAAGTACGTCCCCTTTTCAAGAAATCTGAATGTCATAGACACTCCCAGGTTCTTCGTTGGACTTGGACACCTCCTCGGTCTCCCACCAGGACGTTTCCATCACCTACCAGGACGCCTCCTTCAGCCTGCACCAGGAGGACGGGACTTAGAAGGGTGGACATGGACAGTGGATGACAGTGGACTTAGTAGTCAAGTTTGGTGCTGTACAAGTCCTCTTAGTCCATCGTTGTCCTCTTCCCATGCGTTTAGACCGTTTGAACCAATGCGCAGACGCGCGTAGACTCCCAACGCACCACCTGGCTGCAGGAACTGGGGCAGTCACAGACGGCGTGGAACATCTCCCAAAGTATCAGCCGTGCTGCAGGCGGTGCATGCTGCAGACACCAGGATGACACCAGGGGGATCATGGGTGTCATCGGTGGAGATGCTCAAGCACGGACGCAAACATCGTCAGTTCCAGTGTTTATATAACGGATTTGACTGCCATGGACACCCATGGAAACAACATGCATGAACATAATATGTATGGTGTGTTTTTCAATGGCAACGTCAAAATATCATAGATTCAACATAAAATTGCTTTCGATGTCAATCTTAAAATCAAGGCTCCCCTTTCACCTGTTCTGAGGAGGGCCAACCACAGAATATCCCCCAAGCGTTTTGGAACAGAACGTCTGGCAGGGGGAAATTGCTTTAAAAGGTTTTGGGGATGTGAATATCTATGCATTTGAAATTTGAGATTAGATTGAATATGGTGACTTTTAAGACCATGAAATTCACAACCACATATAATTCCATTTGGCTTTGCGTCTAAGCATGTGACAAGGCCTGAACCAAGCCAAAAGATATAACTCTAGAAGTTTGTGTGTGTGTGGGTGGGCGGGGGTGCATTTTAAATTTACTGATCGTGGGACAAATGGCTAAGCACTACACAAACAATCATCCAGAGCTTGGTTTCATTACCCCTTGGCAATCTTGTAGACCCTCAGCAGCCCTGGAACGCAAGAGAGTGAAGGCCCCATAACCACAAACGGTTTGGTCACCATGTTGAAGGGGACAGGCACCAGTTTCTGAGCTCTTCGTTGGAGCCTCCAATCACCCAAACAGGCCAAGTACCCGGTGTTAGCGTCGCAGCAATCTTCGATGAACACTGGCAGGTTTGCGCCCACTGGACCAGGCAGCAGCGTTCGAGCGGAGACGCGTGACGAACAGACGCGTCCGCGATCCTGAAGGTTGCTTCAGAGATGGCCAGGACGGATGGTTGACCGCGCATGTGGTTTGTTTTGAACGCAGTGAGACACTTTGCAGCGAAGATCCAATGAACACTCTATCTGACAAGTGTAGTAGACTGGATCTAGAGAATGAACAACACATCCTACAGCATCCAAAGCCATCAGATCGTTCCGACCAAGATATATGTCTTACAGGTCGACCGGTCGCTATCTCATCGATCAACCAACATTGGACCGCCGCTAAGCTTCGCTTGGGCCAGTGCATCCTGCGCATTTAGTCCCAGGACGTGGAAAAAGCGCCGCAGTGATTCGAGAGTCGGATCAGGGAGTGGACTTTAGGAGCCTGCCCTCATCCAGGAACTATCGCATCCATTATCACTGGGATTTTGTGGGGTAGGGTGCGAATCAGCACCAACTCAGAACTTTCATGACTTCAAAATCCCTCTTTTTTCGAGCTTCCCTAGCACAGGGTGACCAATCACCTCTTTTCGAACTCTTGGGATGACTCATGGCCCTTCGAGAGCTTCCGTGTGTTCCCTTTGTGGAGCAGAACAGCTCACCATGCTTGACTACATTTGACTACCCACTTTCGGGGCGTCCTTCGACTCTGGCGCCGAACAGGGCAGAGAAGGGCCGAACTTTATCGTCACTTGCAGCAGTGGATTTTTGGGGCTTGGTGATCAGCTTCTGATGATCTAGTTACCCATGCGAGCGGGGTGTTGTGTTCCATCCCCTTGATGCAAGCTTTTCTTGACCATTGTCAACAGAATTGAGTACGACGTACGTGCGCTATGAAGAGACATTGAGGAGTGTTGGGTGTGTCATCATTCAATTAGAACCCCTTCTAGCAAAGCAGTATTTAATTGAATAGTTCTTAGGTTCGTTCATTGTGGCCATGGCTTCCGCAAGAAGCATCATCGCCCTAGCTTAGCTCAGCTAAATCAGCACTCAGCTGCTGAGTGCTGGCACTCAGCTGAGGTGATCTTCCTCTTCTTGACCTTGGCTTTGGCATTGGTCTCACTGAGCTTCAAGTTTTTGGGATGGAGTGGCCTTTGGCGTGCGCCTCGGTCGCGTGATCATGGAGATGTCCATGGTGAGATGTGAGATGACAGCGGCTCATGGAGGAAGCAGGTGTCTAAATGGTTGAAACATGTTTTTGTTCATTCCACTACTGTTACGAAGCCATGTCCATCCATTTCCTATATAGTTTGGTTAAGACATTAAAGCATTCCGTGATGAGCTCAATGTCTACACTCCCATGTTGTATCCACAGCGCCGGATCAGCGGACGAGTTCCCGGACTGTTCCGTGATGAACGAAGAATGACTCGAACAACCAGGACGAGTTCGTTGGACGACCGGACGGAGAACTCGGTCGCGACGAAAAGCACGTCTTCGCATTTCGGAAAGACATTAAATTGTTGACTTTTTATACCGAGATTCGTTACAAAGCAAGCAGATTTACAGTTCCGACCGGAGTTCACGACCGCATTCTCCCAGATTGAGACTTGTTTGATACGCCTCCAAAACTATGCAAAGCTATCTTCCGAAACCAGCGCTCAGTATATCAACGGGATTTCAGGGTCCGGCTATTTCAGGGTCGACCAGCGTTGCACCACTGTTTTTTGGGCCCGAATGCTCGTGGGCTTGTCACTCACACGTTGCTGCAGGTCTTTCTCTTCATCCTGCTGCCCTTGTGGTTCATTTGGCCAGCCTCTTTCCTGCTGCAGTGGCGTGTCTTCGGGCCTATCACCAGACAGGTGCGAACAACACGCGGGACTTGACGTGGGCACGGTGAAGTCAACCAATTCGTTTCACGCTGGAAATGCTCAAAAATCGTGCTGCTACATGAGCCAGATGTGCTTCACCCTATGTTTATTACAAGAGCTCTTGACAACATCATTTGGGCTGAAGAAATTGGCCAGCGTCATGTCCACTCGAAGAAGCTTTGCTTTTAGCATCTTCAGATGGTGAACTTGAATCCGGCATCAGCACCATGGGAAATCCACGCGACAGGCATTTGTTCGCCTTCACTGTCGATCTTTCTAAAGGATTAGGAACCTCCCAGAAGGGCCGGAGTGAGATTGGTCCAATGGATGAAGGCAACATGCTGACTCCAAGTCTGGTGACGGAGCCAGCAGTTTTTGTTTTAGGGTCCATTTGAGATCCATCCAGTGAATGTACAATGGGTAATCGTTAACCCTTTTTGTCAATGGCGTTGCAGAAAGCAATGAAGAAATAGAGCCAATCACATGTGGTGTGCTTTGCAAATCGTGTTTTGTTCTTCGTTTGAGTTCCCTTGGAACTTTTGGTGTTTTGTTCGCCAACATCCTGCAAGGCACTTTTCACGCCCTTCTTTGACACGCAGATCATGGGGCGCTACACAGACGATGCTTGGCAGACGAGGGGGGGAATGGTGGAGAGGTAGTAAAGAAGCCATTTAGAACTAGGTGTTGCAGTCTTTTTAGATGCCACTACATCCATCATTGATGACGTCACTACACCCATTTTATTGATATCAACGTTTATTCATTCTGAATTCTGGTTGTTGAACCAACTACTTAGATTGATGCAGATGCATTTTTCAAGAAGTGCCATTGTCGGATTGTAGTCAATAGGATTCCTGAATATAAGGACGGAGCTCAAAGATTGCCATCACTTGTGGCGTCAGATGGTCTCTTGGAGCAGGGGAGTGTGTTGCAACACGTCTCCAAGATTCAAGAAGAACCACCCAAAACCACCAGAAGAATCAGGAAGAGATTGCAAGTCAGGAACCCTCAAGCCTGGGCGTCAGCTAAGGAAGCCTGGTACTGCTTCACCACAACTTCTCTTTTGTTGGCCATCGCAGCCTGGTGAAGTCGTCGGGGGTGGTGAAGTTGTCTGTCGGTGGTATTGGATCATCCCCAAAGTGCTTCGGATGACACGCCATCCAAAACACGGGGTTGTCGTGTTCGACCATTTTGAAACGCACTTACAGAAAGTGCAAACATGTGCAAGCGCATGATTCGCTTCAAGGAAGAACTGTTGACCAACAGGTTCTTTTGTTCTTTGTCGTTTACATGTCGTAGGTGTTCTTTGTTCAAGACCACATCTAAGCACAACTTGTTGCTTCATGTACTGACGTTGATATCTTGCAGATTTGCCTCGCAACACATGCTGTTCGTGTCAAACGATTCAACCAAAGATCCAGTTCATATTCAAAGCAGAACAGCAAACAAGTAGACCATTTACATCATGTTACATCCATTTACAGCAGCTTCGGACTAGACAGCGTAAACCCTCTAGGACAGCTTACACGCTAAATGGGAATCCTTCAACACGTGTCGTGCGGTTCGACACATCCTCAAGGGCTCCAAGTAGCTCCTCAGAAGAAACTTAGACCCTCCAAAATGCACCTCAGACACCTTCTCAGGAGTCTCAGGAGGTATTTCGAGCCCACTGGGGTCCTTGGGTTTAGGCAAAAAAAGCGACATGCAAAGTGAAATAACATATATAAATATAGTACATGAATGTTTGGTTTTCAAAACTGCCTGCCGACCGGACCGTCGGCCATTGTGCTCAGTCCTTGGACGCGGGTGTTCGGTTTCCAGCAAGCGGACTTGCAACATTCCCTCAGCTGTGGCAACTGAAAAACAACAGACACAGACACAGCAATGCAACACATTGGCAACATGATTATATGGATTTTAGTGACAACATGTGAACATCATTGAATTGTATTTAATTCCTACATCAGCCTATATCCATTTTGGGCCAGAATTTCAGGTGACTCATACCTCAAACTCGCATCGATGACCGTTCTATCCAAGGCCTGTTTGCCGGCCTTCAATCTTCTTCACCGCTTCGTCCACTTCTACTTTCGCGTGTGGGAATCTTAAGGTTTGCAGGGAAGTCACACATCGGGAGTCACCTCCAAGACGCCTTAATCCAGAAATGCTTGATACAAAAATAGAGACTGAACAGAACTCATATTCATGTGTTTCAACGCTCCAAAAAAGCCATTCGTCGCCTAGTTTCAAGAAGATGGGCTCGGGGCTCGTGACACATCATAGATCGCCTGACCTACGGCCTTGGTTGGTTTGTTGGTTGGTGGGTTGGTTGAAGAGGGGAGACACCAAGTGGTGCACAAGCAATTCTGGTCTACGGTGCTTGGCAACCATCATTGACCCCTTTTTCTATTCCCTTCGAAGGGTGTCTCCGCTTCGATTGGGATGTTTAAAGATCCCTAAACATCAGCTGCCAACATCAGGGGACACATGTTTAGTGCACTTGTCAGATTTTGGCTGCTTGCACAGGTTGACAGAACATGCGTGTGGTGATTATGTGGTGATTCTGTTGGTTCATTACATACCAACTCATACTTGTTGTTCTTGCCTGATCAAACCCAAAAAAACAATTTTTTGCAGAAGACCGGCGAAAAAAAACACACCTGGAGCCCCAACCAAAGAGTTCCTGGGGCCCTCCCGCGGGTTTGGGACCACAGAGGTCGCTCCAACGCGCCTTCTACCACGATGGCGTGGACGTGTTGATGCCCCAGGTGTCGAAGTGCCCCTGGGTGCCGATCCTCCTTTTTGGCGCCTCGGTGCGCACAGAGGTCGGTGGACGTGGCGGTGGGGAGAGGTCGGTGAGTGACCGGTAAAAGTGAGATGACCAGGTGGGAGAGGATGTGTGGGAAGCTTCGAATTGTTGTGCCTTCTTGAAGCAAGCGATATGTTCCAAGTGAGATATATGATTGGTAGGGTACATTGGCATCAGGAACGGTGCCGATGCATCACAGGCATCAGTCAACTATGCCGCAACGAGCCACACACGGCTCTCGAGCTCAGGAGCGACGCTCAATGAGTTCATGCGGCCCAACAGCAAGGAAGCGCATTCCTTGTTCGCAGCTTGGCAAGGATTAGAAGAGGGTATGGGTCATGTGGGGGATCTAGTTAATGTGATAAAGGACCATGTCACATCATTCTCCCCACATGGGTTTGGTATGGTTTAGTCATGGGTCAATGGGGGAACATGATCATGACTTGGTCTAGTCATTGGGGTCATGTCGTTAAATGTATAAAGGACCTTTTGAATGCGCAACCTTAGAAGAAAGGGACAACAGCACTTCGAGAATGAACAGATTGGTTGCGGCGACGAAATGTGCCAAGTTTTTTTGTTGATCCCTTAAGTTATTCTGGATGGTTCTGGATGTTCACAACCCATCAAGCCAATCGTGCGGATTATTTTGGATCGTAATTGTGCCGGCAAACACACGCTGTTGTGTGGTTTGGAACCCATTGCTGCTGCTTCAATTTGAGAAGACTCATGCACCTGTCATACACACAACAACCCTTGGTTATGTAGTAGATCATTTCTGCAATATTCTGGCAACAGATAAGAAAGGATAGGCCACATATTCTGTTTGCAAAGAAATCAAGGGAGTGATGTTGCTGTCTTTTCTAGAATTTCCAGCTGAGACCTTGTCTCCCTCCTTCCCGCCACCGGCTGAGACCTTGTCTCAGTATGCCATGGGCTGCCAGAGGAGGGTCAGGGACTGAATTGTCCGGACGAACTGGGGAACACAGATCCAAATGGATCTGCCACCAAATATGGTGAGATCATGAGGCGTTGTTGAGCGCAACCAACAGCTCCAACAGTCCAAGATTGGATGCTTCGTTTTCATCCTACCATCCTCAATGAGGGTGCCTCAGCTAGAGATAGAGCCATTTGTTTTAGAAAGGATTTGCAGAGTTCTTTTTTTGGAGTGTCTAAAGAGTCTAGTTGACAATGAGGAAATTGCTTGGGCCATTCTGCCAGAAAGGCAAGAAGGTCATCCTGCATCCTGTCACACCCTTCCAGACTCATGGCCAACATCTCAAATCGTGATTTCAGTCGCGCTTGACCTAAAGCAATGTGAGGAACATCTCACACGGCTTTGTGGCTCTGGACGCCCGTTCCAAGGATGAGCGCACCTCCATCCAGCGACTGCCGTTCGATCCGGCGACTAAGCGAGCACAGGACTGACTTCCTAGCTGCGCCAAAGTGGATGTCTCTGGCACGGTGCATGACCTTGAGCTGTGCAGCCATAGCTTCTCGATTGCCACAGAATGCCACTGGATGTATTCCCCAACAATCCATATGGGACTGGAATACTTGCTTAAGATGACAAAGATCTTAGATATAGGTTTTAAGATGTTTTAAGGGTCCATGCAAGCAAAGATTCCAAATTCCCCTACTTGGATGGTCTGGGATTGGCTCAAAGTCCAGTTGAAGGGGGATGTTATCGGTGCCGGGGTCTCCGCTGCGGACTTACAATGGACTCATCGAAGTGAAAACCACCCTCTCATCTGAACTCAAGGCCATCCACTTCCACGGAAAAAATAATCAGAACAACAGGGAGTGTAAGCAGTTTTGGTAGAACCTTCTTGCCTGCAAACCTGGTGATTGCTCCATTCCTCTTGGCCGTTGGGGAGCTTACAAACTGCATGGCCTTCTTCATGGTCGAACGGCCTCATATTGGATTCAACCGACGGATCTTCTAATTGGATGCTTTGCAGATCGCGTGGTCCCTTTGCGCATGACAGTTGCACACACACACACACACGCACAGGTGTCTCAGTTGTGAAGTGTCCCAGTTGTTGGAACAGAAAGTGCGAGCAAATGAGTTATTGCACCAAGAATTGCATCAAGAATGATATGATATATCAGATTTGAAGATATCAGATTTGCACCAAGAATATGTGGAGCACGGCTGAGCACGCCGTCCTCCACTCATGATCCAAGGATGGCTTTGTGCACCTTGGCAAGACCAGAGTCGAAACAGGGTACAGATGGCGGCCCGGAGGACTCTTTGGGATTTTCCTGAAGATGGCTGCAGCTTCGAATAACCTGGAATCACCTGGTTTCGGGGCCGCAGAGGATGGCAACTTCTTCCACTTTGGGTGGGCTGTAAGGCTTCAAGTGTGAATCAGTTTGGAAGGACCAACATAGCTTCTTGTTCCTAGTAGCGATGCCAGGAGCTACGTTCGTAGCTTCTTGTTACTAGGCTCATGAGTACGTAAGCACAAACAGACACCGGCATGGCATCACGTGTTTTGGCACCTACGTGTGGCCGTCAGGCTCACTCAGATCAACAAATGGCACACGCGCGTTTTGATGCTTGGCAGCCAATGCAGTTTTACAGGAAACTGGCAACGCTTTTGGAGGGAGAATGTTCACACGCAAGAAAGCATCACGGAGCAGCAGCCAGGTACAGACTTCTGATGGGGAGGTGTTGCCTCTATAGAAACACACCAGAAGATGTTTTTTGGCTCATTGTTGAGACCTCTTCATAGGCCCATTGGCCAACAGTTGTCTCGAATTGCACATGGCACAGGTGTCTGGTTCGAACATCTTCCTTCCACCACAGTCGTGGAGCTGCTTTGGGTCATACGGAAACCGGGAGATGGAGACCCCAAACCCACCGTTCTCGACATTAAGTTCACTTAGTGAGTTCCTGTCCTGACGAAGCCACGTTTTGAAACCGTCCGGTGCGTTCGCCGTCCGAGGATGGCCATGCTGAACCTCACGCAGGGCGATTGGCTTCGCTTCGATCGACAGCAAAAGTGGCACACACGAAGGCCTCGAATCGCACCTTCAGCGTTGGCACACTGTCGACAGGTGAAATCTCAGTGCTCGGAGGCGGTTGGGTTAGGACTTGAGGCTTTGGTTCATTTGATCAACCTGTGCAAAACGTCAATGACCGCATCAAACAGTCCATTCATCCCGGGTTGAGAGTATATTTCTATGTATTTCTCACCTCCAATCGTGTCGTAGCTCCACTTTCTCCAGAAAAAAGAGTATCAGTTGTTCTGTTGTTCTTTACAAACAAAGAAACATATATACAATATATATAATATATTATGTAGTGATTCCTTTAAAGACTAAATCCATTTCACTGGAGGGTGTGGAAATACGAAACTGAGCCGGACATCGGTAGGTGGCCCGAGCTCCTGAAGCAGCCGCACTTGGCCAGCCTCTTCGACAGGCGGACGTGCAGTGGCTTATTGCCGTCAAGTCGATTCACTGTGTTTTGTAAGTGGTGTTTTTGTGGCCTTGCAGCCTCGCAGCCGCAGCAGTGGGAAGTCCAGTTTTGGGCATCAAATTTCACATGTTCACCTGTTGTCAGGCTCCCCGAGATGGTCCTCTTCGCCTTCATTTACCTCTTCTGCCTTTTGGCCAACGACAAGTCCCGTCCAGGACCAGAAGACCTCGAAGCGGCGCCCCGACTCGGCTGAGCTGTAGCTTCGGAGCTGGAGAATTTGACAGCCATGGACAGCCACGCCACACCATGCCCAACGCTTGTCTTGGTCAGTTTCAAGTCAAGACCTCTTTGTTTCTCCAGTTTGTTGGTGTTTTCCATGTCTAGGCCCAGCACACATCCGCAGGAAAATCTAAACCTCTTGACCAGGGACTTTTCCAGATCCTATAGTCATGCTTCTTCATTCACTCCTGATAGGTTGTCGTTGAACGCGGGTAGATCTGCGAGATACCGTATCGGGTGTGGTTCTTGGTCGACCTCTTTGATAGAACCAGTATGCATTGTTTAGCAGAAATCTCCAGCATCACTTCAGGATGGGCGGTTTTACCATGAACGTGCCATGCGTCTTGAAGGTTGAAGGGGCACATAAAAGGGCGCAACATACCAACTCCATGACGAACAACTTAGGCTTCAGACATTGGCAAAACGCCATGATGTTGAGCTTGTCGCCCTTCAACAAACATGTGGTTTGGAAAAAAACGCCTCTTCATCAAGTCCAATTGGGTAATGTAGGAGGCCGTTGGTCAATCCATGCAGGCTTTTTGGCTGCCATGCCATTTCACGACACCTCCTCAGACCGCCTGGTCCGATGATCATATGGTTCTCTCAGACCCCGCTACGACTCCTGCCGACGAGAAGAGTTCTGTCACGTTGATGCCAAGACCACGCGGTTTCGAACGAACTGTCCGATGCCAAGGGCTGTCAAGCCTTCCGGTTCTTCACCATGATGGCGATTCTGCTGATCATCGTCTTCATTGGTCTCTCGATTCTGACCTGACGCAGGACGTGTGAGGACGTACTTGACTTGAAGGAGTACTTGAAGGTCAGTGTCAGACTGTGTCAAGAGTCCCAGCTAGTCTATTTTGTTTCAGGTTTCATGGGCTCTTTTTGTTGGATTGATGGATATTCATGGTGTGCTGCACTCTATTGGATTTGCACAATTCTTGATGTCGTTCACTTCATTCATCGATGCACGTGTTCTTT